ATGTAACCCCCCCTACACTTGCCCCGCGGTGTTATTCGCGTCTACGTTGCAAGTCCAGACAGTCATGACCCACACTAATTATTGATATCGCATAGTATCTCTTCTCATATTTCGAAATAACAATAAATGCAGATTTTAAGTTAGACTAAGACCTTTCGAATAGCAACAATTACTTCAACAATTTTTCTCTTCATACTCCAGTACATTCATCATCCTTCTTCCATAAATCATTTTCTGTTACAACTTTACGCTTGTGGATCTATTTGCCTCTTATATTTCCACCATTTGATGAGTAAATTCGGACAGATTTTGGAAATTTATTAAATATTTACAATATTTATATATCATAATTTAATTATAACGTTTAAAATGTTTTTTGCACCTTCGTCTTGATACTTTGATTAGATTTTCGGAAAATAAAAAAAAATGCTTATTTCACAATTTTGATGAAAAAGTAATAGTACCAATTTACAAGTTACTAATACAATACAATACAATACAATAACTTTATTTCAGGCATCAAGGACTTAAAAATTAAGAACATTGGCCCATAGCAATATATACCTTAACCTAAAAATATATATAAAATATAGATATAACTTAACACTATTTAGGGAACTTTTCTTTGGCGCGTCCCTGTATCGGCGAAATACTACCCCAGAGGGCCAGAAATCGGGAGCGACTCTTTATGTTTTGCAGGAAGCTGGAGTACGTAGGATTTGAAGTTCGTTGACCTATTAGACTCCAGACGCTGCAAATGTAAAGAGATCGGATCCTCAATGCGGCATCGGCTTCGTTCTTCCACGAAGCGCAGGACGTCTTCTCCCGACGTATTTTTGTCCAAACGGGAGATGTAGAGTTGTATGGTTGGCTCCACAGCACGCAGAGTTGTACTCGCGTTTATTTTCGCGGTCCCACGCTGGTTACAGATGGGTCGCGACCGACGTCTCTTCTCAACAAGAGTAAACCCGTCCTTATCAATCTTGTCTTGGGTCACCACTGGAACTGATTTTATTTCCACATTCTTCCGCTTTCGACCACAAGAGGGTGCCGGTTGTAAAGATTTTCGGGCAACATCCGAAAACGTCTTCCCTTGTTTTGAGGTTGGCTTCGGCGGAGGAGTACCAATGGGTTCAGTCAAGGGTTGAGGTGGTGATGCAATGACGACCGAGGTCGCCCTAGTTTCTCGGTCATCAACCCGCTAACAGACGGTATGGCGTGACGGAGTCGCAATCATCGGTGAAATATGACTACTATTACGGTTACCGCGTGTCGTATTCACATTCTGCGACGGCGGTGAATTTACAGATGTTGCAATTATGTTGCGCAACATATTGACTTCGTTCCTCAGCTCTGTTGCGGCTCGTTCTGATTCCTCAAATTTGGAACGGATGTCGGTAATATCGGCTCTCAACGTGGTGATGTCTTTCAACAATCTGGTGACGTCTACGTGATCGAACGTCACGGGAGGCAGCTTGTTGAGATCCCGCGCGACGAAAGTTGGGATGTCATCAGAGTCGGTCTCATTGAACAGCCTGAAGATGTCTTGCAGGTCTTTCTTACCGCGTCCATCCCTGTGACGTGTGATAAGACGGATTTGGGTCACGGCTGAATCTGCTAACACCTTCTTCGCCTGGATGATCTCGTCCTCGGTGAAGCTTGTCATCAGTATCTGCTCCAGAGACACCTGGTCCATGACGTCCAATTTTTGTTGAACAAAGGCCAGCAACTCGTGGATTACGACGGTTTCGGAACGTTTAGGTTGACACGCCATTTCGAATCATTTTTGCGCAGTAGGTATGCTTACGCTACAAAAATACTGTAAGTTCGGCATTAGAGCCGTCACGTCATTATGAAGCGACTGCACTAACCGGTAGTAAAATTGCGACTGAAAAATTACTAAAATATTTTAGTAATTTTTTACCATACAAATATGAAATACCAGTAAAATAAAAAGTGTCGCACAAACTGTAACACCCTACTATAAGGGTTTGAATCTTCCAAAATCTTTCCTTATTGGATGCTTAAGTAATAAAGGGAAGTTATTATCCCAGTCTTAAGCTTCTGCGTCCAGCGGTTTAGACTGAGCGTCTAATTATAATATTTTTCTTACAAACTTTGCACTTTGCCCCTAATTTTAAGGATTATTGAAAAAATAATAATGGATGTATCATTGTATGAAATCAAAAGTATTTACAAAATTCAATAAGTTATTTTAAAAAATACAATAATTATTTTGAACACAGTTTTTCCTCCGTAATGGGATATAACTAAAATAATATTTCGTAAAGATTGAGAAATCAATTTTACATTTTCTGATTTAATATAAAATGAGATAGTCGACACTAGACATGGGACGAGTACTCGGTTCGGATTCGCTATTCGGTATTATCCACCGAGTATTATCGGCCGAGTACCGAGTACTCGGCCTTAATTATATCAAAGAGAAAAATAGACAAAAAGCCAGTTTTTATCATTATTATTATATAAGGAGAACAGGAGAAGCAGCAGAAATATTAAGAACTTACATAAGAATCTATACTAGAAATTAATATTACTAATATTTAAAATTTAAGAGAGGCAGATTATGATGCAAAAACGCTAGTTTTTCGGCCCTTTTTGGGTCTAGTTTGTAAGGGAAATAACCGCACGCCGCTCGCTAAAACGTTTTTTTAAAGCCGAGTATTCGGCCGAGTACTCTGCCGATACTCGGGTTTAAAAAAACGTTTTAGCGAGCGGCGTGCGGTTATTTTTCTTACTCTGTGGCCTAGTACTCGGCGAATTACTACTCGTTCCATATCTAGTCGACACAATCATCATTAAATATCTAGATTTTCGATTTTCCATTTTAAATAATATTAGATTTTTTCGTATTCAAAATATACATATGATTTGATACAATTTAATGAATGTTTTTTTTACCTCTAAAAATTATTTTTATTGAATATTATTCGCGTCTGTGGATTTTAGTTTTATCGTTATTATAAAAGTCTAAGACACATATAATATATGCATTGTTTGATATATTATTACGACACGTTTTCGAAGTTTTCCGTTTCCTACTTTAGATAAGTATTAGTTACGAGATAGTTACGTCACACCTACCATACCTACTAGTCTTGGTGACGTCATTCACATGACGCATCTTGAAGTTCATACTTTTTGATTTTACACGTTTGTCATATTATGATGCAACAGCTTAAAAAAATAATAACAAACCAAATGCGGCACAACACACCCGTGTATTTAATATGACGTGCGGCGTCTTACGTTAATTTCAATGGCAAGCCATAATGACGTTGATTTTCTTGAACCTTCTAATATAAAAAAAAATTCGTAATTCGTATTTTATGTGCAGTTATACCGTTCATCCAATTGCGGTAAAACTTTGTCAACTTATTGCTTGCACTTGCACGCATAGTACAATAAACTTTCACAGAATACCAGCGTAAAATAGCATCTTAATTTTAGACAGGCTCGAACCGGGGTGGTACCACGACCTCATACAAAACCAGCGTGAAGTAGAGGTTTACCTCTGCGTTTCGCTTGGTGAGTGCAGGTGGCCGGAGGACCTTTTTACTGGAAATGAGGCATTCCATCTTAGTCCTCACGGGTGGCAACGAATCTACATTTTGATTTGTAATAGAGGATAGATGTAGATGTCTTTGGGCCGCAGCAACCACTTACCATCAGATGGACTGTGTGCTCGTTTGTCACCCTTATACTATAAAAAATAATAAAAAAAAATCTTAACACTGCTGTGTTTCGTATGGTAAGTGTAGAGAACCGGAGACCCTTTTTACTGGAAAAGAGGCATTCCATCTTAGGCCTCACGGGTGACAACGCATCTGAATTTTGATACGCAAACGAGAATAGATGCAGATGTCTATGGGCCATAGCAACCAATTACCATCAGGTGGACTGTGTGATCGTTTGTCATCCTATCCCATAAAAAAGGGTAACAAACGTCAAATAAGCACACCTGGTGGTAAGCGACTGTTGAGTAGTAAAAATCGCAAAATTCGTAGTATTTATTTTTTATTTACAGAGTACTTTCAGTAAGTCAATCGTCCCATAAAACATTCATAGAAACTGTAACAATCTATTTCACTCTTTTAGGGTCTTGAATTTTTCAAAACCCATTCAAGAGGATGTCAACGCAATAAAAGGAAGCTGTTGTCTCAATTTTATGCTTCTGCGTCTTGCGGTTTGGGCTGTGCATCTTAATACAATATTCTTCATACTAACATTGAAAAGTTTGTAGTATACTGCTTAAAATACGCCTATCCCAGAGATTGCCTCATAGGGGGCATATTTGGTGCAGAAGCCTTGCTTGACAAGCAAGGGTTGGAAACCGAAGTTTTTAATCATTAACATATCTCATTTCATTTCATATTATTTCATATTATTACGACACTCACAAGACGAAATTGTGTAGTGGATATTCTTACAACCCAACTAGACAATTACCAGTATCGCAACAATCATTGCTATAATACATATAAAATGGTATATTGTATTATTTTCCTGTAAATATTTTAAATATGCAAAATATTATACTTGGCTCTACCACGTATAATTTTTATAAGTGGTAGAGTCATGCCGCAGCTACTTTAATAGTATAGTTGTAGCACGAATGGGTCGGCTCGACCGGGGAAGGACCACGCTCTGACAGAATACCAGCGTAAATTAGCAGCTTAACACTGCTGTGTTTCGTATGGTGAGTGTAGATATTCAAAGACCCTTTTACTGGAAAAGAGGCATACCACCTTAGTCTTCACGATCGACAACGCATCTGCATTTTGATTTTTTATTGAGGATAGATTTAGATGTCTATAGTACATAGCAATCACTTACCATCTGGTGGACAGTGTGCTCGTTTGTCATCCTATACTGTAAAAAATATGCAAGATATGCATCGAAGGGCTATTTTGTTCTGCTATGTATTTGGTTTATTACTTGTTTATTATTTTAATTACCATAAATGTTATTTATTTTAGGTGGATGTTCTGCTTTTGGCCATTCCTGTTTTGGTGGTCATGGAAAAAGATCCAGTGACAATTCGATTATAGATGTAAGTGAAAAAAAAACTTATAGTTCTATTGTTTTATTCTAAAAGTAACAAAAATTAACTATTCCTTTTAATTCCTTTTCTAAAGATGTAAATAAATTAGAACATTAAATAGTGTTTAATTATAAGTATATATAGCGTCTCTGTCCAATTTTTATTAACTTTACCGAGGTTTCCAAATTTTTATACTTTCTAACTTTTGACTTTGACTTTTGACTTTAAAAATGATAGCAGATTTATTATTCTATTTGAGTATGCTTGAAAGAAGCTAACTATCTACGCCTTTGGTCAACATTAATTGTTGTACAAAGAAAATGGCTATAAAACTGAGTAAATCAAGTTTCAATCAACAATTAATCACTTTTACCCACAATTCATTCATTCATTTAAGCACTATTCTTTTTTGCGGGCGTCGCATTAGTTTTATAATACCTAACAATGTAGCCTATGATGCTCCGGAAGTGAAGAAAAATAGAACGATACCATGCGTTTCAAAAGCCTTAAAGCAGTTATGGCTTAAAATACCTGTGTAAAGTACTAGTATACAACAAATATATATATATATATATATTCAAGAAATAAACATAAAAATGTACACACAATCGAAACTTCCAGACAGACAGATAAGAAAATTGAACATTTATTAATAATCCGAAATATAACTCGTCGTACAGATTAGACTTAGAATTATGCCAATCACATCATTAAAAACAAGAAAATGCCGACCGCGAATACTATTTAAATTAAAAATAATTTTTCAGGGTCGAAACTCTGATATGGTTGAGCGTCGCCAACTTGGACAAGAAGAGACTCCGCCACACCCCGTGTATCCACACTCTGGGTTTAGTGGAATATTACCATCGGGCGACGATATCATTCCTGTTAGGGATGGAGGTAAAATTATTATGTACAGTTTCTTTATTTTTTGCTGCTATATTAATAGTATGGTTGTAGTAAGAATAGACCGTCTCGACCGGGGAAGGACCACGCTCTCACAGAATACCAGCGTAAAATAACAGCTAAACACTGCTGTGTTTCGTATGGTGAGTGTAGAGAACCGGAGACCCATTCTACTGAACAAGAGGCATTCAATCTTAGTCCTCACGGGTGAGGACTCACCTCACCTCAACGCATCTACATTTTGATTCTTATAGAGGATAAATGCTAAGAATCTCCGGTGGAGGTTCGGTTGCCACCTTAGACGACTCGACCTGGCAACGTACAACGCACGCACCCTGAGGACTGACGAGAAGATCGTGGAGCTGGAAGAAGAGATAGACAAGTTGCGCTGGCATATTATAGGATTATCCGAAGTCCGAAGAGAGGGGGAGGACACGGTAATCCTCGAATCCGGCAACTTGCTCTATCACCGGGAGGGCGACCATCTGTCCCAAGGAGGTGTCGGATTTATCGTCCACAAGTCTCTCGTTAACAACGTTGTAAAAATCGGGAGTGTGTCGAAGAGGGTTGCGTACCTTATACTCAGAATCACCAAACGGTATTCGCTGAAGGTCATACAGGTTTACGCACCAAACTCGGCACACCCCGATGAGGAGGTGGAGGAAATGTATGAGGATATCTCTAGAGCCATGCATTCCTCCAAAACCCAATATACGGTGTTAATGGGAGACTTCAATGCAAAACTAGGCACAAGAGAGAACGGTGAGCTGAAAGTAGGGAAATTTGGAATAGGGCAACGGAACCCAAGGGGCCAGCAGCTGGCCGACTTCATGGAGAAAGAGGGACTCTTTATGATGAACTCTTTCTTCCAGAAGCGGCCCCACAGGAAGTGGACCTGGTCGAGCCCCGACGGTTCCACAAAAATGAGATTGACTTCATTATGACGACCAGACGACAACTGTTCAGTGATGTCTCCGTGATCGCGAGGGTGAAAACTGGTAGCGATCACCGAATGGTTTGAGGCACACTGAACCTAAACGTTAAGTTGGAGAGGTCTCGTCTAATGAAGTCAACGCTCCGTCCCCCTCGTGCTCTGTTCCAAAGTCCCGAAACCTTTCAGCTCGAGTTACAAAACCGTTTTCAGTGCCTGGAAGACTGCAATGAAGTGGACGATATGAATGACAAGCTCGTGGAAACTGTCCATGCGGTTGGAGCTAAGTTCTGCAAGACCCGCCGCAGAAGAACACAAAAACTCTCCGATCACACTCTTAATCTCATGGCTGTTAGACGGGAGATGAAGCTACATTCTTCAACAGACTTGACAGCATACAGGCATCTGAACAGACAGATCTCCAAATGCATGCGGCGGGACTTACGCAACTTCAATACAGCTCGTATTGAAGAAGCGATCGAGCGGAACCAAGGCTCCAAAGTCTTTGCCAGAGATCTGTCTGCCAGAAAAAGCCAACTGTCAAAGCTGAAGACAGAATGTGGCAGCATCGTTTCCGGGACACCTGAGATTTTGAGTGAGATTGAGAGGTTCTATGGGCAGCTGTACACATCATCGTTGGAGTCACACGCAAGTGTGAGTAACGATCCAAGAGCGAGTCTCATCCGACACTATTCCGAAGATATCCCGGATGTCAGTCTGAGCGAGATTAGGATGGCTCTCCAGCACCTTAAAAACGGTAAGGCCCCAGGCGAGGATGGAATTACAGCGGAGCTTCTGAAAGCGGGTGGAAGACCGGTACTTGAAGTCCTTCAGAAGCTCTTTAATTCCGTCCTCCATGGTGGCATTACACCGGAGGCGTGGAGCAGAAGTGCGGTGGTCTTGTTCTTCAAGAAAGGTGACAACGCTCTCTTGAAGAACTACAGACCGATTTCCCTTCTGAGCCGCGTCTACGTGCTGTTTTCGAGAGTCATTACGAATCGTCTCGCGCGCAGACTTGACGACTTCCAGCCTCCCGAACAAGCCGGTTTCCGAAAGGGCTTTAGCACCATAGACCACATACATACCCTTCGGCAAGTTGTACAGAAGTCCGAAGAGTATAATTTGCCACTATGTCTGGCGTATGTGGACTATGAGAAAGCCTTTGATTCCGTCGAAATTTGGGCGGTGCTGCAGTCCCTTCAGCGGTGCCAAGTTGACTGTCGGTATATCGAAGTGTTGAAGTGCTTGTACAGTAGGGCTACGATGGCTATCCGAGTACAGAACCAGAGTACGAAACCTATCCAATTGCAGAGAGGTGTAAGACAGGGTGACGTCATATCCCCGAAACTCTTCGCCGCTGCATTGGAAGACGTTTTCAAGCTTCTGGACTGGAAAGGATACGGTATCAACATCAATGGCGAGTACATCACTCACCTTCGATTTGCCGACGATATAGTCCTTATGGCAGAATCGCTGGAGGACCTAAGCACTATGCTCAATGACCTCAATAGTGTTTCCCAACGGATAGATCTTAAGATGAACATGGACAAAACTAAGATCATGTTTAATGTCCATGTCACACCTATGCCGGTAGTTGTTGGGAACACTAAGCTCGAAGTTGTTGACGAGTATGTTTACCTGGGACAAATAGTCCGACTGGGTAAGTCCAACTTCGACCGAGAGGTCAATCGACGGATTTAACTCGGCTGGGCAGCGTTCGGGAAGCTACGACACATCTTCTCGTCAGACATACCTCAAAACCTTAAAACGAAATTGTACAACCAGTGCGTGTTGCCAGTGATGACTTACGGAACTGAGACGTGGTCCTTCACTGCTGGCCGTATGAGGAAGCTCAAGGTCGCTCAACGAGCTATGGAGAGGGCTATGCTCGGAGTTTCTCTGCGTGATAAACTTAGGAATGAGGATATCCGCAGTAGAACCAGAGTGACCGACATAGCCCAACGGATTAGTAAGCTGAAGTGGCAGTGGGCCGGCCATATAGCTCGAAGAACCGACAACCGATGGGGAAGAAAGGTTCTCGAGTGGCAGCCTCGTACCGGTAGGCGAAGTGTAGGGCGTCCCCCCACGAGATGGAGTGACGACCTGGTAAGACATGCAGGAAGTCGATGGATGCAGGTGGCTCAGGTACGTGTTTTGTGGCATTCTTTGGGGGAGGCCTATGTTCAGCAGTGGACTTGTGAAGGGCTGTAATGATGATAATGATGATGAGAGGATAAATGTAGATGTCTATGGGTCGCAGCAACCACTGACCATCAGGTGGACTGATTGCTCGTTTGTCACCCTATCCTATTAAAAAAATTGCTTTTTAGAAGTTCCTAATTATAACTGTATTAAGGTAAGCTAAGAGTTTCAATCAGTTTAATTCGGGTCAGATTCCTCGGTCGACTCGACCCATTCGTTCTACAACCATAGATGAGTAGATGCAGTATGGCATTCTTTCAATGTTGTCTTTGTGGCAGGAAGTATTTTATTTATTAGAGAAGACGCACAAAGCTTACTCGCATTGTGAAATACTTTTTATATAACTAGTTCCAAGCAAAATATGACTAGCACTTACTGCCAAACACCACTTGCTTTATCAGTGAATAAACACGAAACAGTGTTAACAATGATACAAGAATTGAAGTGTTCTAGAAATCTTGGGAAAAATCCTTGTATGGATATCTGAAAGTATAGCTATTTCGTAATATTTATAATTACTTATTAATAAAATTTGATTTTTTTTTATCTGTAGGCGTGTATGAGAGAGAAGAAAACAATTTTGCCCGGGACGTTATGAAGTACAAACTTAGGAACATCGTTAAAAATTGGGTGAGTTAAGTTTTCTTATGCAACGTATAGATACTCGCCGAGAAGAGGCGCCTTGTTCGGATGTGCTCGCTACTCGGCCCGAATGTTCACCGGTTTCCACTCGATGTCGGTTTTTTTAGCACGAGTCGAAGGAATGTTCGTGTGTATTCATAGTGGTGTTTACATACTTGTCACTATTCGCTTGACCCGTGAACTTTGTCGCAGGTGGTTATTATTTATGTTATAAAATAATATAAAAACAATTTATATCATACTAAATAATAAAATACCTAACTACTGTGATTAGTTGGAGTATCGAATCCACTATTAAATTTATAGAACTTTATCAACGAGAACCCGTGATGTCAAATTAATTTATGATATCGGAGCCTGGAAATTGGTCTTAAATAAATATTAATAAAAATAAATATTTGCGAGTCTATAAATATTAAGTAGACATTAATTCGTAGCGACGAGACGCACGTCATCCATGTTTAAAAGATCAACGTTGAATAAATACAGACGAATATGTAAACGCGTCGTACTCATCCACAAATAACTCGACGAGTTATACGGCGAGTTGTTCGTCCGATAATAGATATTTTTAAGGATACTAAAAGTGACTCATCTTGCACTTTGTTTTTTTTAAATATGTTTTCTTAAAATGAATAATTGTAATAATTATTAACTGACTTGCGGTTGATACAATTTTATAGTTTGTTATATGGTGTAAAATATTCACTACCGCATAATATCATCAATAAACTGAAACAGGAGATGAGACCAGTATCTTCCTAAAACAAGTGAAAGCAAGTAAAAATAATCAAAAGCTGCACTTTCTAACCCGTCTGCGAAGTGTGACAACTATCGCAAAAGAAATAAAACTAATAAAACTCGTTTGATATTAACCAAAATGGGAAATCAAAAAATGTTTTTGATTCCCCACATTTCGACGACTGATCTTGGGAAATGTAAAGTCAAATAAAATCATTAACTATGGCGGAATCCCGCTATGAAGTTTTTAGTAAGCCTGCCCCATAAATCTATGAGATGCCTATGCTCAGTCACGGGATTATGATAGGCTGTAAAATAAATTATTAAGAAATAGGTAGTAAAAATGACAAAACTTGTTATCTCCATTTTTGAGGCTATTTCTTCTATGTGTATTTTATTTGAAATGTATAAAATACAGAATAGTTTGATCATTTACAGATGGAGAACTACAGGCGATCGCAACAAAACGACGACGGCTATTTTCTGGAGACTCTGTAAACGCCGATACTGACATGCCTTTTCGTAATTTTTCGAGCGTGTTGTGTGAAGTGAGCTTGTTTTCAAACACACTCATTTTTTATAACTCATATATCTATAGAATCTTTTGATCGTAGATCGAAAATATTGTTTAAAATAAACCCTACTTGTTTCTGTGTAATATAATTTCAAGGAAATTAATTCCAGGTAATTTTCATTCACAATTTCGTATAACGGTACAACAAGCTTACTTCGTATTCAATCAAGTAATATTTAGTGAAAGTTTACTAACTAAAAAATAAAATAAAATAAAGAATTAAAAATATGATAGAGGTTATAAATTTTATTGTCAATTAAATAATACTATTACTCAATGGAGTCTTTTGTAGATACGCACTGTTTCTTCGTCATTTGTGTTAGAATTATCTTAATATAATTATGATAAGGCTGGAAATTATTTTTATTGTAAGATTTTTCGTGCCTGATATATTATATATAACTGTTCCTTTTTGCGAGTCATAAAATATTTTTACTTAAGTTTTTCAACGGCCCCGCCCATCTAACACTAACATAGTCTTTGACATAAAACTGTACCTGACAAGGATTTTCAGTTTTCGTAATAAGTTATCATATATTTATTTAAAATTTATGTTATAATTTAAATTTTCTAGTCAATATAAGAGCTAAACATAAGTTTACCATCATTTTATTGTAGTAACTAATGAATATAAATACGTGTCGACGTGATTGTTTCTCATTAAGAATATTTTGATTAATCTAATAAATGGTTAGATACATAAACGTTGTTGTTTATTTTATTAAGACCTCTATTTTATTTAAATACACTTCTGCTTTCCAACTGGCCTGCCAACCGTGGCAACTGTGGCAAATTCTCCATATGAGGCAATCTATGTGTGAGGACTTTCATAGGCTGTAACGGTAACGGTAACGGTAACGGTAACGCGTCTGCTATGAGATAAGGGTACAAAAAATCTTATGTACGTGTTGAGTTACGAGATGATTATCATCGGACACGTCCGATTCAATTTTTGTTAACTATGTAGCTATACAATGAGTTTTAAACTAACAGTTAAAAGCTAAGTCTAAGTTTCAGGTAGGTAAAGTGAATGTGCAATATAAATAATTGGTTTTTGGATTTGGACGTACGGAATAATTCAGCGTAAGATAGCAGCTGACTCAGGACACCCGAGTCTCGGTTAAAAAGAGCAAGGCCGGCTTCTCCGTCTCTAGATGGTAATGGACAGCTTTAAGGTTGAAATGAAGTCCCCTGATGTTGCAAAAATTCACGGATAGCGTGACAGGGGCCGCCTTGGTTGTATTGCTCCGCTTGCCCCGAGCAGCATTAGTCGCGAGCGGAATTCCCCCCCCCCCCCCCCACTCACCAAGCGCAACGCAGAGGTAAACCTCTACTTCACGCTGGTATTCTGTGAGGTCGTGGTACCACCCCGGTTCGAGCTGGAAAGAAAAGAGCTTACACCTTTCTAAAAGGCCGGCAACGCATCTGCAATTGCCCTGGTGTTGCGGTTGTTCATGGGCGGCGGTAGTCACTTACCATCAGGTGAGCCGCATGCTCCTTTGCCCCCTCTTCTATAAAAAAAAAGCTTAATGCTGCTGTGTTTCATATGGTGAGTGTAGAGAACCGGAAATCATTTTTACTGGAAAAGAGGCATTCCATTTTAGTCTTACGGTTGACAACGCATCCCTATTTTCGCAAACGAGGATAGATGTAGATGTCTATGGGCTACAGCAACCACTTACTATCAGGTGGACTGTGTGCTCGTTTATCCTATAATCAAAACCTATAGATACCTACCTACCTATAGATTACCGTTCGGCCAGAATCAGAAAGAAGGAAGGTCTAACAGTACAAGTACATATCTAAGTTTCGATATCTTGTAGTTATATCACATTAAAAATATCTTTTTCGATTACAAAGTTACATCTGCAGTTATTGTAATCGCGAAAAAATATTGTACTGTACGTATTTTAGTAGACAACAAGTAACAATCGTGATGTTGATTGATGTTTGCGAAAACATTTTTTCAATGTAAAGTTAAGTTTTTCCTTCAATACCTTTGTCTTTTTCGTTAGAGCAATTTTCCGTGCTATTACTAACTAAGGTAACCTATACTTTCCGGGTTGGATAAACTATCAATATACATAATAAGTTTAAGCGAAACTCTCAGGACACGTGTCCTTCTTGCACCTGTCTGGTTTTTTATTGACCTGTATCTCTTTTCTATCTCTACGTAGTATAATGGCTGATTTACACAGGGACAGTAACTGGCTCCAAATTCGAGGAAAGTTAGTGCTGACCCGCTACTGGCATAATGTAAATTGATTTGAAGTCAGTACAGCACTGTCTGTGCGACTACTGACTATGTGTAAATGGTGCAAGTCAGTCGTGGGCGCCAGCACTGTCGCCTGTTATTATCCCCGTGTAAATCAGCTGCTTCCCGTCGTCTGTACGCTTAAGTCTTCTAAACTACGCAACAGACTTTGATGTGATTTTCATTAATAGATAGAATGACAAAAGGAATAAATATATATATGTATATTACACACAAACAAATATAATTATTTGTTTGTGTGTAATATACATTATATAATTATTCAATCCGTGTGTATGTAACTGAATTCCTGCTCAATGGCTGGACCGAATTTGATGAAATTTGTGTGCGTGATTAAGTTGATTAGATAATGGTTTACAATCACAATTGGACCCAGTAGCTGGCATTGTTGTCGTGTTTCAGAGATCAACCTTGCGAAGCCGGGGCGGATCACTAGTTATTTCATGTTAATAATAATTAAAAGAAACCATTAAAAAGGATAAGTACCTGCAAAGGTTTCTTTAATTATTATCAGCCAGAGCTTGACTAGTATGTAAGCCGATTGATGGCAAGTGGTAATAAAGCTGAACGAATATGGCACTGACTTAGTTTAACAAAAACCTATTCACTTTTGGTTTGCCCTTCACAGTGTCTTCTCCGCTCAAGAGAGAATTTTTAAATATAAAAAACATAGCAGCATTAACCAAATTTTTATCAAGTCTCAATAAATATTTAAAACAAAATCGCTTCTACTTTGTGGATAAGTATTTAGATAACAAGAACTAACACTATTATGTATTTTTATTAATGATCAAACGAACTTACCAAGTGAAGTTCTATCTTAATTATGCGAACAGCTTCATTCTAGCGACTCACTCCCCAGTAACCACGGATGCTGTAAAGCACCCGGAACGCCGAGAATTTAAAAATAAGTATAATTAAACGCGATAGAATCTTTAAAAGTAGTTTTATTCAATGTGTAGTGTTGGCGTAAATATAAGAAATCATTATATTCTAAAGCTATAGTAATATATCCACTGTATTTATTTTAGTGTTTCCAATGATAGCAATGGAACTTTTTGATTTTAAAGTAGATTGAAAAAGATTAATGTTAATAAAAAACTAGTGCTTGAAAAATTAACAAGAAAACGTAGTCTTTTGACCATTTTTACGCTTAAAATTCCTTTTACCAGTAAAGTTAATTTATGCAATTACAAGGTAGTCTGGTGGAGATGTTTTTTGTGTGTTGACTTTACTTAGCACACCTTAGACTTCCATTTTAATCATTGGAATTACATGATTTGACGAAAAGGTTTAATTCATTCTTCGTTACGAATAAAACGCGTAATGTGGCCTACATTACGCGTATTATTTAAAGTTAATTTTACACGTGTAATTTAAACGCGATCTAAATTTGAATATCATCGTAACAGAAAAAAAAGTATGAATACAAAAAAAAACTTTTGTGTGTGTGCAAGATTGCAATGTTGCAGATGTTTACGAAAAACATTGTTAAGATTGCCTACTTTGTGGAGAAGCATGTCTAACGAATTATTTACTAGTCAACCCACGATATGGTGTGTACACACGTATTTGCAAATCCTCATCATCATCAGCATTACAGTTCATCACAAGGCCACTGCTGTGCATAGGTCTCCCACAAGGAATAGCACAAACGCATAGCTTCCTACATCTCTTACTAGGTGGTCACTCCATTTAATGTAACCCCCCCTACACTTGCCCCGCGGTGTTATTCGCGTCTACGTTGCAAGTCCAGACAGTCATGACCCACACTAATTATTGATATCGCATAGTATCTCTTCTCATATTTCGAAATAACAATAAATGCAGATTTTAAGTTAGACTAAGACCTTTCGAATAGCAACAATTACTTCAAAAATTTTTCTCTTCATACTCCAGTACATTCATCATCCTTCTTCCATAAATCATTTTCTGTTACAACTTTACGCTTGTGGATCTACTTGCCTCTTATATTTCCACCATTTGATGAGTTAATTCGGACAGATTTTGGAAATCTCTTAAATATTTACAATATTTATATATCATAATTTAATCATAAGGTTTAAAATGTTTTTTGCACCTTGGTCTTGATACTTTACAAGTTACTAAAATATTTTAGTAATTTTTTACCATACAAATATGAAATACCAGTAAAATAAAAAGTGTCGCACAAACTGTAACACCCTACTATAAGGGTTTGAATCTTCCAAAATCTTTCCTTATTGGATGCTTAAGTAATAAAGGGAAGTTATTATCCCAGTCTTAAGCTTCTGCGTCCAGCGGTTTAGACTGAGCGTCTAATTATAATATTTTTCTTACAAACTTTGCACTTTGCCCCTAATTTTAAGGATTATTGAAAAAATAATAATGGATGTATCATTGTATGAAATCAAAAGTATTTACAAAATTCAATAAGTTATTTTAAAAAATACAATAATTATTTTGAACACAGTTTTTCCTCCGTAATGGGATATAACTAAAATAATATTTCGTAAAGATTGAGAAATCAATTTTACATTTTCTCATTTAATATAAAATGAGATAGTCGACACTAGACATGGGACGAGTACTCGGTTCGGATTCGCTATTCGGTATTATCCACCGAGTATTATCGGCCGAGTACCGAGTACTCGGCCTTAATTATATCAA